AATACGAACTCGATCTCCACTTTGAATTTGGGTTTAATATTCAAATTGCTAATCTCGTTTTCAAAGTTGTTTCGAGTGTTGACGGACTTTATGATATTCGGGTTATTAGAGGCTTGTGATGGCGTCACACCTATAGACGAATGTATTTTGTTATTGTATTCGTCGACAACAACTGGTAATATTTTAAGCCATTTTTGAGATTTCAATTCCGTGAATTTCTTGAATAATTTGCTTTTAAGAGTCCTGTTGAATCTTTCTATCACTGCGGCTTTACCTTCGTTATGCGTGCTGTAAATTTCAAACCCCAGAGATTTCACATTTCTGTTGTAGAATTCGCTTCCTTTATCAACCCACAACTTTAGGGGGTCGTCTGTCGGATTGTTTCATTATGGTTTCGAATGCTTGTTTGACAGTCAGACCAGATTTGTTTTTCAAGGGAAAGACCCAAGCGTATCTCGTGTATATGTCGATCACCGTCAAACAATACTTGTATCCTCTCTCGACTGATTAAATCGGCTGACCAAATTTCATCTTTATCAAAAACTTTGACTTTGAGGTAATATTTGTTTTTTCGAAATTCTTTGTGAATCTCGTCTGCTATACCCATACCCAATTTCAATTTTGCCTTCAAGAGTTTTACGATAAGAGCCCTTTGTAATTTCTCTTTGAAAGTGGGATTGGGAATATTTTCGAGTTCGTCTATCATTTGTTTGTCTGCTTGGTGTCTGAATGTTACGTCTTTATTTCTGTACAGTATGTCGTGTTTGAGCGCTGCTGCGTCAACTCTATTAACGGGTTCTTCCCCTGGTTTGGGATTATCATTTTCGTCTAAACGCAGATCTAATCTCGTGCCTGGACCTGTATAATTGTGGCCTGGGAGATGTTTTTCTCCGGGATATTTTGCCCATGGGAATCCAGGAAGAGGACCCAATGACTTTTGAATGTCTCCCGCACCGAAATACGTTTTAGGAGGATGGACATTTATTAAAGACATGTTTGTTCAACATATATTTTTAATACGAAAGATTTAATACAAGGAGGAAATTTGTTGTTTGATACAAAATTGGCCCCTTTGGGGATGAGAGATGTTAGCGCAGAGAAGAAACCGTCTCCTTCGAATTTTTTTTTTTTGTGTTTTAAAATTAAAGACACTTTTAATGCGGTTATTTTATACTGTATTATTATTAGTGATTCTTGTCTGTGTAATTTATATGGAGTCTGTTATAATACATTTTTAACAGTTTGGGGAGTCTATTATAGTACATTTTAACAGTTTGGGGAGTCTGTTATAATACATTTTAACAGTTGTGTCTTTTCGGATATGACGCATTGAAAAAGCTGCGCATGCGCAGAAGTGAAATGCGTCATATCCGAAAAGACATATACTACTATCGCCTCAAAAAGTTCAAAGGAAGTGTATGTCTGAAGGTTGAATATATCATACTGGTAATTGTTACTGTACTGCCAAATATTTTTATTTAAAATCAAAGCTGCCAGTGGGCGTATATTACCTTGCCTGGCAAGCTATCATAAAACAATTTGAAAATGATCCACAATAATTTATTTTTGTCCATTACAATAACCACAAATGTACTAAATAAAAAAATGCCAACAAAAAATGGGTTAAATTAAACAATTGATTCTTTCTAATATAATTTTTTGAATCCGAAAAAGACATTTTTACATTTCACTTGAGGCGTTTTTATTGAAGCAAATCGTATCACAAGCTTTGACGGTGATTATTAGCATGTGGTACATATTAAATCCCCTTCAAATAAATGACCATCGAAATAACCGGTTTGCATGTTGAATTCTCAATGATCCAAATACACTGATTATTGAACAGTTAAATCTGCCAATGGAATAAAATTTTCTTCAGATGTCTTTGTTGTTAAAATATTTCAAACGCTGGAAAGTATATTTTCCAATAATCTTAGAACAAGTTCTTGAAATGTTTTTACTTGTTGACAATGTTGCCAGCCACCTTGAATCTCAAACAAATCGTACCAAAGTGCTGTTAGCCACGCTTTGGTCGATTTGGATAAATGTGATTGCAAATCGTTAAAATAAATGTGTAATGAAGAAAAATTTTTGTAGGTGCATTGTTTATATAAATACACACTTTGATCTGTCTTGATACAATTTGCTTAAATAAAGCCTTTGAAGTCGTGTAATTCAGAACAGGTACTTTTAAATCCATTTCTGAAAATTAAACATGTACAAGTTTACTACTGGTTCTATTATTAAAGATATTCAAATCTTAATTTGTTTATAAATATAACTTGACATAATAAATTAAAATAATTATTACAGTAATTTTGTTTTTGTTGAATTCACAATATTTAAACTCTTATTCAGCAAATTGAATGTTTTTTTTTTTTTCAAAAATTTACATTATCAAAACAAGTCAGTCAAAACCAATTAGTTCCATCAATGGCATCTTAGAATTAAAGCTGACAATATTGTCCATATTATTAGCACATCATATCAAAAATTCATCTGTCCACTTGTATAATTTCATAAAATAACTATATATAACAAAATAAAAATACTGGCACATCTCACCAATAGATTTAGTACTGTTTAAATCCAGGTGAAGTAGCATACATCATTAGATCATCAGTAATATGTTTATCTAGGTTAGTTGATGTTGTGACTGTATCAGTGTCTGGTAAGAAATCATCTTCATCCTGTCAATATAATGGTACATGTTAAACTAATATTTTATCATCTTATTAAATAGGGAATATCTTGGAATTCTTTTATTCAGTATGGCCAGATACATTGAAATGATGGGTGTAATTTTTTTAGTATTTTTATTGAACAATAGTTAGATTAGTATGAAGAGGAACACTGAGGGAGATATAAAATAGGTCTTGTGGGAAGGTTAAATATTCAATGAAACGATTCATATAATCGTCTGAAGCCGAGATGGTCGTGACAAGCGTTGGTCACCTTTTCATATATATACTATTATTGAGAGAGTAGACTATTGATAGAAACACCTGTGTCACTTACCCCTGAATCATGTGTATCATCAGAAACTTCACCTTGATAAACTCTATAGATAGGATTGATCAGTTTACCACATCTATAAATTTAATCTGAATCATTGAACATTTAAAGATGGGTTTAAAGATGGAATTCCAATGAGTGACCAATCAAGAAAGGGCAAAAAGTATCTTTTTTTTGTTTATCCAGAATGTACTTTCATGGACATTATGATTGGTTAAAACTCTTAATTATATGCAAAAAGAAATAATTAAGAATACATGATAATTCATTAGAAACATAAAAAATAAGAACCCAAAATTGTACATATACTTATCTTAAAAACTTACCTTGGTAATAAAAACGGATCGAAGGGAAAGAAAGACGCTAATTTTAACATAAAGTTAGTCTCTGCTAATCCAGTTGCACTGTTTACTACTGGAATCATACATCTATTATTTCTCTGTATAATTGTATCACAGAATGCCAACTGATGTCGTCTGAAAGACAGAAAACAACTATTGAAATATTCAATTGCCCGTGCTCAACTTTACTATCCAGATATTTTCAGTTATTATTTGTGTATATTGTAAAGATAGATGTTATAATGTGGAAGTATTACTATTTGATCCTGAACCTTGAAAATGTAAAGGTACCATCATTTTTGTATTAGATCTTGCACCATATTCAACAACTATTTTATCATATAGTATTTGTACATTCTACGAGGTAAAATATAAATAAAGATAGCTTGCGTTGCAAGGTAACATACGCCCACTGGCAGCTGTCAGGAATGATAAAACAGTCTTTAGTGACTAAAGTACGAATTTCCTCATATTGAAGAAATTATTTATGCTGAATAATTCCACAAAATTTTTAAAAATCAATATCAATAACCCAAATACAACAAACAATTAAATCACACAGCTCTAATCAAGCGAAAAAAACAACTTTTGACGCGTGTTTACGAAGTCAAGGGCAATAACTCAAAAAATGTTCATCAAAAATATCTCTTGTTAGAACTTGTCCGAGATCTTATCAATTCCAATGATCACACCAAGTTTCATCAGAATCGGTTGAAAACTGTAGCTTCTATTGTGCTCACAAACAAATTTTGACGCGTTTTTCGTAAGTTAATGGCATTAACTCAAAAACATTTCATCGAAACTGCGTCCAGTTAGAACTTGTCCGAGATCTTATCAATTTTAATGATCGCACCAAGTTTCATCAGAATCGGTTGAAAACTGTAGCTTCTATTGTGCTCACGAACAAATTTTGACGTGTTTTTACAAAGTCAAGGGCAATAACTCAAAAAACGCTCATCGAATATGCGTCAAGTTAGAACTTGTCCGAGATCTTATCAATTCCAATGATTACACCAAGTTTCATCAGAATCGGTTGAAAAGTGTAGCTTCAATCCTGCTCACGAACTATTTTTAACAAATTTCGACGCGTTTTAACAAAGTCAAGGGCAATAACTAAAAAACCGTTCATCGAAAATGCGTCAAATTAGAACTTGTCCGAGATCTTATCAATTCCAATGATCACACCAAGCTTCATCAGAATCGGTTGAAAACTGTAGCTTCAATCCTGCTCACGAACTATTTTTAACAAATTTTGACGCATTATTACAAAGTCAAGGGCAATAACTCAAAAATCGTTCATTGAAAATGTGTCAAATTAGAACTTGTCCGAGATTTTATCAATTCCAATGATCACACCAAGTTTCATCAGAATCGGTTAAACTGTAGCGTCAATCTTGCTCACTAACTATTTTTTAACAAATTTCAACACGTTTTAACAAAGTCAAGGGCAATATCTCAAAAACCGTTCATCAGAAATGCGTCAAGTTAGAACTTGTCTGAGATCTTATCAATTCCAATGATCACACCAAGTTTCATCAGAATCGGTTGAAAACTGTAGCTTCAATCCTGCTCACGAACTATTTTTAACAAATTTCAACACGTTTTAACAAAGTCAAGGGCAATAACTCAAAAACCGTTCATCGAAAATGCGTCAAGTTAGAACTTGTCCGAGATCTTATCAATTCCAATGATCACACCAAGTTTCATCATAATCGGTTGAAAACTGTAGCTTCAATCCTGCTCACGAACTATTTTTAACAAATTTCGACGCGTTTTAACAAAGTCAAGGGCAATAACTCAAAAAACGTTAAAGTTAGAACTTGTCCGAGATCTTATGAATTCCAAAGAGCCCACCAAGTGATGGGATCGACGGACAGGGGCAACGACAATATACGACCACATAATCATGTGGGCGTATAAAAACAAATATCTACCTCGAATAAGAAGAGAATGTACTGACAACTATTGGTAAACAATGTCGCAAAGGATTCAAACGACATGTCACAATACGCTGAAAATTCAATGCTTCTGCCCATTTATAACCCTTTTTAGATTGAAATAATTCAGTATTTCTAAAGCAGAAGACATAAAACACAGCCTGACTAACAGCATAGAATGTTCCATGTAAAATATTATCAGGATGTTTATCTTCTGACAAGTTGTCAAGGTAACAATGTAACCAGGCAACCATTAAATCTAAACAGCTTATCACAGTTCTGAAATTTAAATATTTCAAGAGTTCATAAATCAGGATTTGGGGTAGAAAATACAGAAAGTTGGCAATGAAGCCAGCTACAACTTAGCCTACAAGTGATCTACTGTTCTATCATAAAACCATTATAAAAACATCAATCAATAATATATTTTGAATGATAGCTGAATTCAGAACACAATCCATAATTAATCTGAAGGCTGGCTAAGAAAATGTACTCAATGACTAATATGTACAAAAATAAAGATTTATGACTTACAATATAGGAATATACAGAGCTCGAGATAATAAACTAGACATATAACTAACAGCTGATTGTCGGAATATTATAGGTGTATTGGGATTCTGTACAATCTTCCATAAATAATCTAACATACCATCAGCCAATATCTACAAATAAAGTCAATTTTCTATACCTATAGTCACAATAATAAAGCATTTAATATCATTCAAGGGACTGGTGCGGCATTTTGGGGGTTGATTTTGTACTAGAAATATATGAAAATCGCATAATTGTTCACTATTTCTATATATGTATTTTCTATATATAACAGAGTATCTTAAAACGACAAGTCGTCCATTTAACATTCACACACAGACTTACTCAGTGGACTTACCTGGTGTCCTAACTATACATCAAGATAGTTTGCGTTGCAAGGTAACATACGCCCACTGGCAGCTGTCAGAAATAATAAAACAGTCTTTAGTGACTAAAGTACGAATTTTCTCATATTGAAGAAATTAGTTATGCTGAATAATTCCACAAAATTTTTTAAAATCGATATCAATAACCCAAATACAACAAACAATTAAATCACACAGCTCTAATCAAGGGCAAAAAACAACTTTTGATACGTGTTTACAAAGTCAAGGGCAATAACTCAAAAAATGTTCATCAAAAATATCTCATGTTAGAACTTGTCCGAGATCTTATTAATTCCAATGATCACACCAAGTTTCATCAAAATCGGTTGAAAACTGTAGCTTCTATTGTGCTCACAAACAAATTTTGACGCGTTTTTCGTAAGTTATCGGCAATAACTCAAAAAATTATTATCGGAAATGTGTCAAGTTAGAACTTGTCCGAGATCTTATCAATTCCAATGATCACACCAAGTTTCATCAGAATCGGTTGAAAACTGTAGCGTCAATCCTGCTCACATACTATTTTTAACAATTTTCGACGCATTTTAACAAAGTCAAGGGCAATAACTCAAAAACCGTTCATCGAAAATGCATCATGTTAGAACTTGTCTGAGATCTTATCAATTCCAATGATCACACCAAGTTTCATCAGAAACGGTTGAAAACTGTAGCTTCAATCCTGCTCACGAACAATTTTTAACAAATTTCAAGGCGTTCTAAGTCAAAGGCAATATCTCAAAAACCGCTCATCGAAAATACATCAAATTCGAACTTGATCGAGATCTTATCAATCTAAAGCATCACACCACAAAAGCTCACAAGAAATGTTGACCGACGGACCGACGGACAGGGGCGACGACAATATACGACCACATATTCATGTGGGCGTATAAAAACCGTTCATCTAAAATATGTCAAATTCGAACTTGACCGAGATCTTATCAATCTAAAGCATCACACCAAGTTTTATCAAAATCAGATAAAAACTGTAGTCTCTATAGTGCTCACAAGAAATGTTGAAGGACGGATGGACAGACGGACCGACGGGGTGATTACAATATACGCCCATCTTACGTGTGGGCGTATAAAAATGGCGCATTTGACTCCAATGGCTTGCTCTAAAGCTATTAAAGTTGCAATATTACTATCATGTGACAAGCCAGTGATAAAAATGTCAAACTAAAGAATCTCGCCCCAGACACAAGGATTCCTTTTATACATCAACAGATCCAGCTTTACAGAAACTGCCAAGAGTTGCTAAGAGTTGCCAAATGTATCAATAATATAACAAGACATTTATTGTGTTGGTATACTTACAGGTTTAAAGCTAACTAAGTAAAACATTATAAACTGGATATGACTACATTCATATGTTGGAAGAATAATCTTTTCAAATACATTCATCAGTTCCCAATATAACTTTTTAGATGATTCTAAATCAAATATTCCTGAAATCACAGACCAGTTAAAATAAGTCATCAAATTTTAAAATTAGAACTGGTGCTGGTTTCAAACACCCCATCGCATATATCAATTGTCTTATGGATAACAAATGATACAGGTATGAGATTCTTCATAAGTATTGAATTTCCAATGACTCGTGTATCTATACTTACCATTAGGGTGTAGTGTTTTAAAAATATAGTTTAACAGCATTTCCATTAATATATCTAAACAATCTGCTTCTTTATGTTTTATTTCTTTTTCCTTCACTAACTCATTAATTTCTTCTCCTTTCTCTCCATCTTCTTCCTATTATTTTCATTAAATTTTATCATCAATCATTCATTAAATATACAAAAGAAAAAAAGTTTCACGACAAAAGTGGGTGGGAGTAACTGTTGGATGGGGAATCACTCTATTACATAATAATATTGTAAATTGTAAATAAAGTACTGTTAAAACTAATTAAGTTATATCTTGATATTCACATTTAGCCAACTGATACATAAAATTGAATCGTAAAAGCAGTAGTCCAGTTATTTTAGGAAAATCATGTCTTGATATTTTATAATCACTTCTACTTACCATTTCAAATAGTTCTTCATCTTCACTATCAACTATGTCACTTAAATCATGTCTTGGCGATAGAACCTAAGGATAAAATTGACAATTGCTCTGTAAACTATGTTAGTAAGACATTAATAGAGCGAAATTGAAATGTGAAAAATGAAATGAGTACAATAATCGATAAAAATCATAATATTTATATTCAAATTTTAGGCCTAGAAGTCCAGTCTTTCATATCGTCATCGAAATAATTGTACTGTTCAATGGTCGAAATAACCACACGTTCTTGATAACCAAGACTAAAATACTATAGCACTGTCAATTAATGAATTGTGATTAGCCTTCTATTTATAAACAATAGTGATTATCTAATCAGTGTAGACGTAACGTTATTAGACTTATTAAAAAAAGGGAAACAACTACAACCGTGTCAAAAATAAAGTAAAAGTAATGCCAGAATATCAGTACCTGTATTCAGTTAATTATATAAATATAATAACTAATGTTTGTTCTAGAAGAATTATTTAAGTATTTCCAGAAAAGACCCTTTCTTAGGTATGTGGCCCGACCGCTTTCGTTCTGGTTGGAACTCTTAAGGGGCAACGAGGCAAAAGTGAAAACTTCACCTCTATATATAGCTATAAATGAGGAGAAGCAATGCAAAGACGTCTCTGCTGAAATGCGGGGGGCATTTTGGGTCAGTTGCGGAGGCGAACTGACTAAATGCGGAGGGGTCTCTGGTCAAATGTGGAGGTGTCTTGGGTGATTTGCGGCCGATTGCCTATGCGGAGGCAATTTTGACTGATGCAGAGGCGTACCAGGTCAAATGCGGAGGCGACTCCGGTGAAGTCCGGAGGTGTCTGAGGCCGATCGCGGAGGCGGATTGATGATGCGGAGGCAATCTGAGTCGATTTTGTAATCACTAACTGGAGGATTCGGGTAGTAATGGGGGGGCTTGCAGGGTGGTTGATGGTTGAACCAGTTGGCATGTAATCATAGTGGTGTAGCTGATAGATATAGAGGTCAGAGGACACAGATTGTGTTTTTTTTTAACTCTTTAGCAACCCGAAGTACACCAAAGTATTGCTGTTTGAGTCTAAACAGGGAGGGTAGAGACACGAGGGACGGCACATATTTTGTGTTTTGCCTTAAGGACCTAGTCACTAGTTCTACCATCACATATCCCTTCAGACCCGGCATCTCGGGACGAACGATCCAGTGGACACAGCCTGTGTGCACGAACAACATTGTAACATTGTGATATATGCCTTTAGATACGACCACCAAAGAAAGACGCAGAACCGAACTAAATTGGATGGACAAGCTCAAAACTATGACACCACTAGGCATAAATGAATTTATTTTACTTCCCTACAGTCACTGGTCACCCTAATTCCAATGTTTGTTCTAATTTATTGTGAATAAGTAAAATTTTATTAATGATTGTTATGATCATATGAAATCAAAGAAATAGAAGAACATACAAGGATTAAAGACTATAGTCTAGTCTAATTAATTTGCTGTATAATATATAACTGCTGAAAACGTGCTTATATCATGGTCCGGGGAGCAATATAACAAGGTTATCTTATTTTTTTTAAATTACATGGCATAACAGCTTTATCGATTTTTCTATAATTATTCCCAGCACTACAGGCAAGGTAATATATGCCCACTGGCAGCTTTGATTTTAAAAAAAATTATTTTGCAGTAAAGGCTGGTTTATACTCCGCTATGCGAAAGAAGATAATCGAGGCTTAGATTGGCTACGCATCGCTGAGCTTCGAGATGTCAGGACAACTCTGTCAACACCTTTTTGTTTTGTCTGTCTCAAAGACCAAAGCGAAGAGCAGAAGTAGGATAACATCCTCCTCCTTTACCTAGCTTGAAAATTAACTTGCAAATGTAAACTTTCCAAGGTGATACTGAATATGTGTTGGAGTTGAAAATTAGATGCAAATTCAAGATTGAGGTCAATATTTCATATAAAATAGTTCTCATTTTTTTTTATTTTCAATAGGGTTCATTTATTAGTGATAATAAACAATTTCATCAAGTTTTGTTAAAATCAGTCAAGAATTGTCTTCTAATGTGTTTACAAGCTAAAAATTAAACACGTTTTCAAGGGTAAAGACACATTAAATATTTTCTCGGTTTTTCAATAAGGTTCATCCTTGGTGATTACAAACTCTCACACCAATATTTATCAAAATCGAACATGATTTCAAGAACAAGGGCTATAACTCATACTCAATATTTTTGCGATTTTTCTGATTTGCAATAGAGTTCATCCTGGGGTGATAACAAACAATCACAAAGAGTTTTCTCAAAATCCGTAAAATATTGTGCATTTCAAGAACAAGGTCAATAATTCATAAAAAATATTTTTCAATTTGCTGATTTTCAATAGGGTTCATCCTTGGGTGATTACGAACACTCATACCAAGTTTCGTCAAAATCAGTCAAGAATTGTGCCGCCCAGATTGTTTACAAGGAATTGTGGATGGACAGACAGACGGATGGACGTATATAAATGACAATGCCCATGATAATAATATTCGTGAAAGTAAAATAAATTCTGTTTTTTTGCAAGGTAAGCAGTCAATGTCATAAAACAGGTTGTATTTTCACATAAATATTGATCATCATTAACTGATTGGTTATTTCCAGGAATTTCAAATACTTACATCTAATTTCATGAGTTTAATTTCAAATACTTACATCTAATTTCATGAGTTTACTAATAATCAGTTGTAATATTTCCTGTCTCATATCTGGTATATACTGAGTAATTTGTAACAGATTTTTAATGTAACAACTCTGAATATATGTATCTACTTTATAAAATGGAAATAATTTCACCAAGACTGGCATCAATAACACAGGTGTTCTGAAAAAAAATGAAATGAATGATGTCAAGAATAACCATACTTTGATAATGAGCATGCTAATGTTATCTATAATTGGACCAATCTTTGATAGTAGCACGCAATAAATTTTGGTGATGAGCTAGTTGTGCACCTAATTCAAAGTTGCTTTTCTTAAATACCTTTAGGCAAAGATAAATTAAAAAAATAAGTTACAGCTACTATAGATACTTACAATGGAATGAGTTGACAAGTATCAGATAATGCTGTATGTATATAAATAAACTGCTGTTCATGTTTTCTTCTCAGTTCTACATCTACTTTTAACTGTTTATCTACCATTGGTAAACCATTTTTATCTAAAATATGTTATTTATTTGCAGAATGATTTTATAATATGAGTATACATTTTTATCACATTTTGCAGTTTTAATGGAGAAAAGATGATATATTAATACAACAGCTAACATCCATTAGTCAAATATTTCCTTCTTGTGGAAATCAGAATTTTCAAATAGCAAACTTCCAAGAGCATTCAGATGAAAATTAAGGACACAAAATAGTAGAAGTTAGGTGAAATTGTACCAGGTAGAAATTGTTTGACCAACATATTCAATCCTACATGTGAATAATTGGTATTAGCTGACATCAAATTAACTAATAAATTCTGATATGCTTTAATTACATCTTCATCTTTATTTAACCAATCCATTTTCTATAATAGATGTAAATAATATCATACAGAGAATCGACTGGATAAAAGATATTTTATTTATATAGTATCATTATTATACCAGATTAAATAAAAATAAAGTTATCTATTACACTATAAAATCATGAATTTCGAATTTCTACGGAATTTTTATGAAATGAGAATCAAAATTGCAATTCAAGTCATAGAAATTAATGTCTAATCCAATCTCAATCAAGATTGTGTTGAAGCCAGTTTTTAATTTAGATTGAAACATATGACCAGCAATTTTCCAAACCAAATTAGTTTTGGCTAATCATGTGAAATTTTGATGCATATTTTATAAAAATTCAGTACCAGTTGCAATTGGGACATATTCCAGTTGACAACTTGCCAAAGAATTAGTTCCTTGTGTTTATAGAGACCACCTAGAGTTGCAGTATATTTATAGATTTGGCTGAAAATTCTCACGAAAATATGCAATTTGATTTGATTGTCATGATAAATTAAGATTTCAGCTAATCACAGGCAATATTGGATTGTGAAAGGAGTAATTTTGACATGCAAACTGTGATGCAATACTGCTTGAGTTGACAAGATAACTATCGATGGAATACAATTTCATATAATACTTCTCCTTAGTTTTATTGTACACAATGTTTCAACAATCTACAATGTCATCATCAGGTGAAATGATAAAAAAAGATAAATATTGAATAAATACAATATCATCAATCAACTTACCATTATAACTGTTATCAAAGATTCTGTATTTTTGCTGATGACAGACATACAATCTGTCAAACCTCTTAAATAATTTTTTAATGTTTTACTCTACAACAAAGACAAAAAAAATTTGAAATATTATCATTTGCTTTTCAAAGAAACTTTGACAGAATTCCATACTCATTGACATAGAGCCATTGCATGAATTAGTGATGTAGTGGTGCATAATGAATATGAGATATGGAGATAGTCAAAAATTAAAATTAACAGCAATGAATGATTTTTATTTTAAGAATGGTATCTATAACAGACTTACTGGTGTTGCAGGGTCTATCAATCTATTCAACAGCAAATCATACTCTTCTGTCTTTCCCTGTGCAACAAAAAAATACAATTTATGTCAGATCTCAATTCAATTTCTTTTGGTGGTAAAGTAAATGTAAACTTGGAATTCTTTCCACCATTTCTAGCTTATTCAAGGATTAGACTATATTACCTTCTGAGAATTTAGTAGGATTTCTCTGATGAGCTTTCCTGCAGTAGACATTCTGGTGGCTGAAATTTAAGAATTGTACACTGCCATTAATTATAAAATACAGTCTTCTTACCTTCACACAATGTGAATATAAGCTATAAAGTCATTACTTGATAATTTTTCATATTCAATTTCATAATGTTTTAAAGACCAATTTTAATGAAATAATAGTTCATCAAGGAAAGATAATTGTGCTCTGTGTGATTACATAGGAAGGTTCTCAAAAACACTCTCTGAACCCCAGGTCGTTAAACAGAGTTCTCTTCTCAGTCCAGACCAGGCCACGATAAAATGTGCCCATTAACATTACAGTAAACTAAAGTGGTTTGAGAGCAGTTTTCAGTTGTAGTGTAAATGAAAAGCGTTCTCGACACGGTTGTGGAACTGAAGAAGTTTAAAATAACCCTTGTAGTCACCATGATGTAATCAAAGACATCTGGCATAATGATGAAATTCCACGATAAAGGTCCCTTGTGAAGCATTCACAGTAAAGTGTTATCAATTTTGTAATGTAAAAGGGGTTTTAGATTCAGAATTTAACTTTTTTGTTTTTCTCGTTCACAAATATGATTGTTGTTTGGGAACAAAAGTTTTTCGTCCCTATGTGAAGTTGGATGCATGATTTGGGCTTACATTAACATAAGTTCGGCACCATACTTGATATGTTAAGTGGTTATTTAAGGATTATCTTTACATAATATTAGCATTCTGAAAACTTTGCCATAAATCTACAGAAGAATGACCTAACTGCAATTAGAATTATCAACAAAGATGTCAAAGATAATGAGACGGCGATAAGAATCTTCAAAGACTAATATGGCGGACTCCAATTATACATTAAATGAATTTGAATATCATTTTCACTTTCCCCACTTTTCAAATGAAAATTCTTCCAAAATAAAAATAATTCAACTTTCCAGTCCAGTGGTAATCCAATGTGTGTTTATGTTTATTTTTCTAATAACACAAAGTTTTAAAGATGGGTTCCCTTATTTTCAATTATGAAAATGAAAATGCTAATACTTATTATAAATAGAAAGTTGAAGGGTTCAAATGACTTGGAAAAATACCAGTTTGTCTCACATGTCCATAATTAATTCATAATTAGGTAAATTAGTCAGAAGAGAATTACCAGCAGAATTAAATGAGTGACCGATCAAAGAAAGGTCAAAATTGCTTTTTTTGTTTATCCAGACTGTACATACATAGACATACATTGATTATTTAAAACCCTAATTCTATGCAATTAGATCATAATGAAATGATTAAGAATACATGATAATTCATTAGAAACGCAAATTTATCAAAAAGTTTGATTAATTTGACACTAAAAAATAAGGAAATCCATCTTTAAATTAATCAGTAAAATTTTCAAGCTGATATTGAAATTGGCTTTAAAAAATCGGAAACTTTCGTCGATTAACCAGAAGAAACATCATTAATTCAGTGATTGATTGATAGTCAAAACACATGGAATTTTATTTTTGAATTTCTGATCAGAGTATGATTCCGTATACAATATGTAAGCTTTTCCAAAACTATCAGAAAATAACGTATATTTACTTTATAAGTTTAGATTTTCAAGAAAAGGTAAGATAAAAACTGTAAATAATGATCCACGTGCAAAATATCCCCATTTTTAATTGCAGTACGAATGATAACCACCAGATAGCGCTTTGTATTTCTGGCAAATCGGACAATTATGATTTCTTACTGTGACAATCGCCCAAGTTTAAAGCAACAGATAGAATTTCTCAATCGAGTTGTTTTTTCGTGAATAAATGATAAAATAAAACAAACGAGATATGAAACTAAGCAATAAATAGCAGTTCAAATGTAATAATACAATCAGAAATATATCAACCAAATCGGACAAAGTACAAGGGCGGAATGTTGTAAGGTCAAAAGTCAAGGCCGTTCATTAAAAATATAAGTCCGTGCTGTAAAGCCAAAGGTATAAAATTTACGTTCGCTGAAAAGATGAAAATTAAATATTACTTGGCATTGGCATGAAATTGGTTTTCTTTTATCCACTTCCTGATAATTCTTAATATTCGCAGATGAACCTCACCATGGCCCACTGGTTATAATTATATTATGGTCTGCTTTTGTTCTATTCTTCTGCCATGCGACATCTAGGCTACTGTAAAAACTTTTTTTGAATTTTTCCCATTATTTTATGAGAATTGGAATAGATGCCTCAAAATAGTTTTGTTAGTCTTAGAATTGCTTTGCGTTGATAAAAATATAAGTATAAGCACTCATTATATCTTCAAAATTTGTTTTTACAGAAGACATTTCTGGGCCAAATTTTTGTTGTGGTTGAAATTTCTAGGAGAAAAATGTGGCAACCAGGTCTTGTTCATGTCATGGTCAGGAGCTAGGTCTGAGGCAACAAGTTTTCTCAGCTTGAAAATAGTTTTGTTCCCAATTTTTGGAATTTACTTCGTTGAGTATTTACTCAATACACATGGTAAGGACCAGACAGCGGATAGAAAACATTCTGAATACCTTCTCTCTCAGTCTCAGTCTCAGTCTCAGTCTCATCATAATTTTATCATCCACTTTTTGTAAAACATTGAGAATGTGTAACATGTATACTGTTATTCTTTTATCTATTTCAGCATTTGAAATTGGTAGATATTGATAGCTACATGAGTATTAAGCCTATACACACATTCAAATGGAACCATTTCAGATTCAGTCACCTTCAGCAATCAATATTATCAACACAAATGACATGGGTATTGATATGATCAAAATTAACTGTGACATTTCTTAAGTCCCAGTTTGTTATCGAAATGTCAATTCTTTTTTTTGCAAATGTTTTTTTTTTTTTTTTTTTTTTCCAATTCTGGTCAGAGCGCCCAGCCAAAACTATACATGTCACATAAATACTGTGAACATTTCTCCCGTTAATGCCGCGAGACTAAATCTGATGAATGTGTTTTCATGCATTTTTTTCCAACCGGAAATGACGTAGAACAAAATCCATTTTTTAAGTTTTTGCTAATTTTCGGCTCCAATTTTGATCGGATTTTGATCAATTTTTGTTTGTTAATAAGTTGCGCTAACGGCTATAATTTAGCAATTAAAAAATTCTAAAATTTAAACTTTTGTCGCTGACTTTTTTAATTTCAATTTTTGAGATTTTTCACTTTTTTTCTAACTTCTACAATTTTATTTCGATCGATATGAAATCTTACAGATAGTTAGATATTTTGATTGCAAACTAAAATTAATTTTCAAAGTTTCGACATCACTTCCGGTTTTGGAGTTATTCGCTCGTAAAGTTGAAATTTCAACTTCCGGAATTTTGCAGATATTTGAAAAATTCTTTTTGCAATTAGTTAGAGTAGTCCCCATAAACATGTTGAAATGAATAAATTTGACCCGGAAGTATAGGGTCAGACGCCATCTTGATACGCCTAATTTTTATAAAACTCAAAATGGAGCCGATGTGTGTGATGATAGTGTCTATAGAATCTGCAATCGATTGCTAAGAAAATTTTGGAAGCCGATTTTTGAATTTCGGCTTTGTTTTTTTTTTAATTTCCGGTTTTATTTTTTCGGTAATTGTTAAAACTGTTAAGGCATATATCTAGTTACCTTGACCTTTGGTGATTTTGTGACCTGCACAAATGTTATGGCCCCTAACAAGATCTATCTAAAAATATATTTACTTTTGTCACGCGGTTCTAGAGCCATTTGAAAATCGCAATTTTTATCTTTAAAGAGCTCTGTCACGTGACCTAATTATCATACGACAAAATTTATCTTATTTCCTTAATGTGTGTGATTTCGCCTTTCTGAAGATATATCACACTTGATATATTGATCAATATTGCGCTTGTTAGAATTTTAAAATTTTACACTGACGTCTATAGTAACTGTGCGTAATTTGGTTTTTGCCGTATAAACTCAAACTTTTAACGTATAACAATGAATATCTCATGATCTAATAATTGTAGATGCTGGAAATTTTGAATATCATTTAACATTGTACACAAGATAGCAGACATAGCAAAATTTTGGGGGTGGGCGTGGCACATCCGGGTTAGATTTACATATATATTATATATTTGTAATTTATCATAACTTGCAAAGTATACTTTTTTTACTAATAATATTTTGCAGGAAAATAGGTTACTAGTTTGGCCAATATCGCAGGAAGATAAATCTGTTTGGGCTTTTTACTTTTAAAAAAGGAATTGGTTTTAAAATTGACTAAATTTTCATTTTTGACCTTCATCTTTGATGACCTTGACCTTTCCAAGGTCAAAAGTCATTGATCTATAATGTCAATTCATGTTTTGATCCGACACCTCTTTCCGGTTTTATAGGCTTCCAAAAACAGCAATTTTCAAAACTTGTAAGGCTCATATCTCGTGACCTTGACATGTGGTTACTATGTCGCCTGAACAAAAGTCATAGCCCTTGACAACATCTATCACATGGTGTCTTTTATTTTATTGTACGATGTTTACATCTGTTTTTATAGCCATTCAAATATTGCAAATAGGACAATAACACAAACCGAGTGCCAGGAATTTTCTTAAATGGTTGAAACATGGATTCCTATATTTCAAAATTTCTAAATATTGAAGAGACTAATCCAATTCCACACAAAAAAATCAATTCTACAAAAGCAATTTTATAATTTTTTTAAAAAAGAAATTTAAAAATGTGTTAGAATTGTATCGTTGACCAGTGAAAAGTTTTAAAAGAAACATAAGGGGAATATATTCTTGTAATTTACCTTAAAACATCTGAAGGAAAATCTGTGAAAATGCTCTGGTTTCATGAAACAATTTCATAGGTTTAATGAAATATACTATGCATCATTCTACCTGGATGCAATGCACTGCTTCAGCGCTGTTGCACTTACTTTGCACTTACGGCTCTACTTTTTTTTTTCTTTTTTTTTCCCGATTTTTACACCCCTTCCTTTGCTTAGTCTACAGTAGTTACAGCAACCATTCAACATTCACGAACCTTAGATATAGGCGACGATGTGCATAAATATATTTTGGATCTTTTTTGCAAAACCGGAAGTGGCACAGTTCAATATGTGCAAGAATTGATAATCGGCTCTAGAAGTCGTATTTTTCGGTCGATTGTCTTTGTGTTTGCATTTTTGGAATCTACTGTTAAAATCTGAAAGAATAGCACTTTAAAGATTTCAAAATTTGTTGTAGACGTTTTTTTGGCCAAAATTTTCATTTTTTCTATTTTTTTTCCTTTTTTTTTCCTTTTTGACTGATTAATCTGAAAAAAATTGAGCAGAGACAGTTTAAGAAAGTAAACAAAATGGTAGTGAAATTTTCAACTTCACTTCCGGTTTAAGTAGGATATCGATTTTCACTTCCGGTTGAATAACTTCCGGTGTAATTTTTATAGGTCAAAAAATTTTATGGTGATAGGTAGACAAAGTTAAGAGAAAAAAATCCAGACCAGACGTGAAACTTTGGCGCCATTTTGATTTTTCTGAAATGATTCGATTTTTATTCAGACATAACGGCTTATTCGATTTGAATGATTTTGGTGTCAAATGAATGAAGATAAAAATAAAACATGACATTAGGAAGCTGTTTTTCATTTCTCGATTTTGCTTTTTTGCAACATCCGGTTGAATTTTTTCAAAGTTTGGAGGATCATATCTTGTGATCTTGACCTTTGATGACATTGACCTTTATAAGGTCAAAGGTCATCGACCTTAGCTATCAGTTAATACTTTGACATATGACCTCCGACATGTACTTGCGGTTTTATAGCTGTCCGAAAACAGCCAAATTCGCAACTTCGGACTGCTCTAGTACGTGATGTAATTAACCTAGAGGGTTAATTTTTTCGTATTCTTAATGTGCTTTTCAAGCTCTTTCCAATGATACATAACAATCGTTTTTAAAGCAAAATTGAAATTCATGATTTTTTCAAATTTGAGTGTTATTTTACAATATTTCTGTCTCTTTGAGCTTGGTGTAGGTATATCTTATGACCTATTTGATTTGGAACATTGAAATTTGGAAAACAACAAGCCAATTTGAATATGAATTCACCTATGACAAAAAAATTGATGTGGGCGTGGCACATCCGGGTTGAATTACTAATTGTATACATTTAGGGGCAGGGGTATAACTCGCATAGGATGCGTTTGTTCAAAAAGGGACTTCGCACACAATTCCCTCATCCTTTTGGCCAGTTTATGTTAACAGCTCTGCTGTTTCAGCTTTATAGTTCCAAAAAAGGAACGTGTTTTAAAATTGCCATATTTTCAATTTTCGATTTTGACCTTTGATGACTCTTGTTGACCTATATCTTTTGACCTGTATTATGTAGAAGCTTTAAATTTGGAACACAAGATAACATTTTGAATATCAATTTAAGTATGTCAAATAAATGATGTGGGCGAGGCACATCCGGGTTAAATTACTCATTATTGGCATTTTTGCCCAGAGGCATAACTCGTTAACTCGCTACATTTGTTCAAAATGGATCTTAGCATACAATTAAAATAAAATAAAATACTAGATCCACAGGCTTCGCGAGGTTCTGATGCAGTGCGTAACAGTTTTGATTAAGCTTAAAACTGTGCCGCAAAGTACCGTAACAGAAACATAATTTTCTATCATACTTAACTGGATATAGATCGCCCAAACGCAAAGCATATTCGACGGATCGCTCAACTCACATTGTATTCAACAACAGTTGAAGGGAGCAAACTACCTTTATCGTTTAGACCACAAAAAACTTACAAGAGGAAAACCGACTTTTTCAAGATAAAATTCCTCAATTTCAAATGGCGATAAAATTGGAAGTAAACACCGTACAATAAACGTTAATATACCATTGGTAAGATCTCGTCGAGAGCTATCAAAATTGCTCTGGTCACATGATCACCAAAGGTCAAGGTCACGATATACGACCCTTCAAAGTATTCATATTTTTCAACCGGAAATAAATAAAGAGCAAAATCAAAATTCAAAAATCGGTTCTCAAATAATATTTAGCAATCGATAGTAGATACCATAGATATCAAATTTACACCAATTGGATTACACCCTGAGGCCCCATTTTGATTTATAGAAAATTACGCACAGTTACTATAGAAGAAAGTACAAATTTTTCAAATATTAAAAAGCGCAATTTTGATGGAAATATCTAGTGTTATATATCATTACACAGGGCAGATGAACACTAGTAAGATTCAATAAGAATTTTTGGTGTATGTAAATTAGGTCACGTGTCAGAGCTCTTTGAAGCTAAAAATCGTAAATTTCAATCGGCTATAAAACCGAAAGTAAACATTGCACAGCACAAATGAGTATATCACTGGATAGATATCATCAAGGGCAACAAATTTTGTTCAGGCCACAAGGTCACCAAAGGTCAAGGTCACGAAATAGGACCCTTTGAAATTTTGGACATTACCGAAAAATTTTAACCGGAAATAAAAGAAAAGCAAAATCGAAATTCAAAAATCGGCTTCCATACTTTTTTTCGCAATCGATTGTGATATCTAAATATACCAAAATTATCAAAAGCGCTCTTTACCCTGAGGCCCCATTTTGAATTTTACAAAAGTTTGACATATCAATATGGCGGCTATACTGTTACTTTCGGGTAAGATTTTATAATTAGAAGTTTTTTGTATGACCATTTGTAACATATTGCAAAAAGAATTTTTGAACTATCTTCAAAATTCCGGAAGTTGATTTTTATATTTTAGAAGCGAATAGCGTGAAAACCGGAAGTGATATCGAAATTTCGAAAATTAGTTTTTGTTTGCAATAAAAGTGTCTATCTCTATATAAGTTTTCAGATTGATCGAAATAGAATTGTAGAAGTTAGAAAAAAGGTTAAAAAACTTTAAAATTGGAGCTAAAAAAGTCAGCGACAAAAGTCAAAATTGGCGATTTTTTCAATTGCTATCTTGTAGTCATTAAACAATAAAGTTTGTGCAATATCAGATCAGTATTAAACCTGATAAATGGAAAAAATCGAAAAAGAGCCATTGGCCACCGCTCATTTCCGGTTGGTCAAAATGGTGCCAATTTACATTTAACAAATAGTAGTCAAATATTTTGACTACAAAACAGCAACAGACAATCTGTAGCGTGTTCCCTTCCTAGAAAACAAGCGAGGGTGAAATTCGAAAAAAAAGAAAAAAAAAAAACTTCCGGTTTTATAGCCATAGATATATTTTCAAAATTTGATGACTTGTATCTCGTAACCTTGACTTTTGTTGACTGTCTCCTTTTCAATGTTAAAGGTCATTGACCTTGACTATCTTCTGATACTTTCATTTGTCAGGTCTGTCTACTTCCGGTATAACAATCTTCCAAAGAATTTAAACTTTTCAACTTGAGATTGTTCTTGCACGTGACGTAATTATCGTAGAAGGTTGATTTTTTCAGAGTCTTTTGCAATTTGCTACATTTGCAAAGTCCCAATCTGTGCCACATGTGGCTCTAGTTCTAAAATTTGCAATCATTGAGATACAGCAAGGATAGTGCAAAAATAAAAAGAGAAACAAAAGTAGGTTATTAAAAAACTCTACACAACTCTTAAAGAAGTGTTTTATAAAAATATAACATTAAAAGTATGTTTTTATTACTAAAAAATGAAAGCCAGTTTGGAAAGCTAACTAAATATCTCTTTTTATTGCAGGGACCATAAAGAATAACCAGATTTATTCAATGTTTAATAATTTACAATGTCAGTTAATGACATTACAGAGCACTATGGTGTCTTTGCAGATGAACCAGAATATATTACAGAGCACAGTTGAGGCCATATCAAAATCTGTAAATCACATCAATAGTAAAGTAGATGACATACATTCATGTTATGGGTAAGGATTGGTATTGATGTAGCCTGTATCGTAGGCCTGCCGATCTGTCATAGCTATGTATAACATAAATGAGTTGATCTTATCCAAATGGAAGTATGGCTACATACTTGTGGGTGTTCATTAAAATCATTGCATTAATAATTAGTCCTAAGCAATAATTTAATGTTAGATAATCAGTAGTTGCATCGTTACTAACAATGATTATACTACAGGTAATTTAACTCAGGACCATCAACTACGGAATTAAAAAGGATATTCTCACATTTTATATTCCAGTTACAATTCAGTTGATGGCACAGTTTCAACCACTACTGTTATAGAAAGTGTAGAATCAAAAGAATTAGATTCAGGTGATTCCTGTTTATCCAAGAAGAAGAAAAAGAAAAAAAAAAGTAAGGCTGAATCCACAGAAGAATCTGAATGTTCAGAATTAAAAAAAAGATGTAGATCAAAATCTATTAATGTGTCAAATTGTCTGTCTGAATTAAAATTGGATAAGAATGTGAATTCTGCCTTTGAGATCTGTGAATTACAATCAGAGCCAACTGAAAACATGGTTATGGAGGTAACTGCAGATAAAAGTTCAAAAAAGGAAAAGAAAAGTATTAAGGATGATAAGCTTAAGACTATCAATATAGATGAAAGTGAAAGCAAGATTAATGATTCAGATGTTTTATTTCTGTCTGAAATTGTTGAGAGCAAACCTGAGGAGAAATTGTCTCGAAATAGGAAACGGAAGAGAAACCGAAAAAAGAAATCTGCAGAAGTCACAGTTCTTAAATCTCCTTCACCTCATCCTTTACCTAAAGTTGTGACCTTGAATCTACCAAACTATCAACAACCAAATAATACTAAAATAACGTTTTGTTCTGATTCTGATTCTGATAGTGAGAACATGATTAAATCAAACATTAAAGATAACTCACAAAATAGTTTGTCTTTCACCAAGGCAGCAACATCTACTCAAAAGGTTAATGCCTACCAGGAAATGGTTCCATGCAAATTAAGTGTCTACAACATTAAATCTTGTCAGAATAAAGTGCTAATAGCTCAAGATAAAGAGAACAGACCAAATAAGCCATTAACATCACATGTAGTTTCCACTCAAAGTGGCACCAAACCACGGAAAAATAGTCTTGTTATTGCTGATGTTTTAAACCAGATACGTTGTGAAGCTGATTCAAATGACCTTAACAATGAGGTTGATGAAAAGGACAACAGTCCCGTAGACAGTCAAGATGTGAAAAAGAATTCAAAAAAATTTATTAAAAAGACACCTTCAGTTAAAAACTTAAGTAAGGTTAGTAGATAATAAAAAACATCAACCTTTTATATTTTGAACAAATGATCTTTATGGATTTTCTCCTGCCATTTCTTAACCTATATCCTCATGTTTTTTTAAATTTTTTTTATATGTCCACATGAAATTGGGGGTGTCTATTGTCGTCACCAACGTCCATCCATCCACAACTGCTCGTTAACACAATTCTTGACTGATTTTGATGAACTTAATATGATTGTTTGTTATCACCTTTTCATAAACTCCATTCATTTCATTTCATTTGGTTATCAAGCATGGATGAACCCTATCGAAAATTAAAAGAATATGAAAATATTTCGTATAAGTTATTGCCCTTGTACTTGAAAATGTGTTCAATTTTTAGCAGATAAGAACTCTACAGGGCATAATTCTTGATGGATTTTGACGAAACTTGGTGTGAGTGTTTGTAATTTCATCCTGGTAATTGTTACTGTACTTTCAAATATTTGTATTTAAAATCAAAGCTGCCAGTGGGCGTATATTACCTTGCCTGAAAAGTTATCTTTTATGAATTTTATTACAGGTTGAGGTTGAAACCTTTATTGCTATACCTGTAAAGGATTATAACATTTATCCAATACTTTCTGGACCTCCTAGGAAAGGGGACCAAATAGCCTATAAGGTAATGTCTGATTTATTTTGCATAATTACAATCTTATCTCTAGTTTCATTGCTAAAATGTTGTTTTAATGCAGAAATTGTCTAGTCGGATCTTGCATTATGAAATATTGTAAGTTTATTACCCGTACAAGATTTTCAATTTGTTTAGATTGATTTGTTGTTCCAGATATTAGAATTATCAGAAGATTATAATCCTGTTATATCTGCCTATAAGGTAATGAACAATTTATTTTAAAGAAAGTATGGTTAAAAACCCAATTAACTCCTTGTTTACCCAAAACTTTTAATTTTTAATTGGTCATGGAAATTTTTCACACAGTAAATTGGCCTTATTTGATAAACCGACCATATAATTTGTATATGTATATGTTAAATAAAACAAAGCAAGGTTTTCATGCCTACATGCATCGCATATCTTCTGAAATTTGACAGATTATAAGCTTCATTATCCTAATAAAGTGCAGAGTAAAGGACTCCTATTGTCATTAAGAGATATTCTTCAAATACTCCTTGTGTTATGACTGTTTATTACTTACAGGAAGCAGAGGTCTTATCTTATGAAAGTGATTCCAATATTCTATATATTAAACTTAGTGAACCTCTTCGTAAGTATATTTTCTTTATGATAAGGCCTATTCATCGCTATGTAGCGAAATTCTATTAACTGTCCGAACCATTTGTCCATTAAAGGGATAGGTTAGCCATTTGTTTGACTAAAAGTACCTTAGTCTCAGAAATAAGAATATTTTTTTTATGCATTTCAGTAATAGTGTTCACAGCTCAACTTCAAATGCATGTGTGTCCAGAATTATCTGCGTTTGAAAGTTAAAAGAGGACTTATCTTTTCTTGAGACTATGCGTTACATAAAAAAGACATAGATGGAAAAAGAATCTGTCCCTTTAATGTCAGTTTTGATAAGTCATTTAATAGATTTGATGTAAGAGTTCTATATGAAGCACTAGGATTGTTCCATTCTATACTTTTTTTTATTTTGGGTAGGATTTCACGGTTAACAGGGTCTGAATTGAGGCGATTGGTAAACTTTCAAGGCAAAAAATTTGTCACTTTATCAATATTTAAGCTGTTCTTTTCTCCAGTAAATAAACGTCTAAACTTGTGTTGTTTTTGTTGATTGAATAATTGAGAGGGTTATAGTGATGGTATATCAATTATCAAAACACTTGTTGCGAGAATTACACTGGTTTTTGTGGTCAATGTTATCAACTGGTCCAAACTAGATACCTAAAGTTAACGATTTTTGTTACATGTGCTACATGTTACTATGTATACCTCATTGACCCAGATTCTTCTTTACGTTTTAAAATGTCACTTATTGTTGTTCAACCAAACCAAATTTCATGGCTAAATCTTGCAATGGTGTGGCGCTTCATAGGACAATCAGACATATGGCTCTCAGATCATATTGTAACAATAATAGCTTGATATTGATATAAAAGACAAAACAAAGTTATATAATGGTGTAATAAATTTGGTCTACAAGCAATGAACTTGATATTGAAGTGAGGTTATTGGTGGAATTGAGCAGAATTGATATCAGCGTTGTATTGTTTCTATGTGATTTTATGTTGGATTATCAATAATATAAGCGATTATCTAGCTGGTGATATGTAAATAGGCTTAAACTGATATAAGAAGGAAATCCAATAGGGACCAAAAATGTGTTAACACTGTGTTACTGCTGCATATGCAGTGTTTAAGATTATTTGAAAATTCATAATTTAGCCAGTAAAAACTTTATCATTTCTGACGGGTGGTAGTGGGCATATGTTACCTTGCCTGGCAAGCTATCTTAAAGATTATCTTTTAAAATGTTTCCCTGTATATTGTTTTATTATCTCTCTATGTGGACGTATATTGTAGGCACCCCTGTCCGTCCGTCCGTCAACATTTGCTTGTAAACGCTCTCAAAACTAAATTTTTTGATGGAATAAAATGAAATTCGGTATGTGTATACATATTCATAAAACGAAGATCAAGTTCGAATTTGAGCTATTTTCGATCATTAGAAGCAGAGTTATTTCCCTTGCCCCAAAATCTTGAATATTTACCATCCGCATGCTGTGGTGGGCGTATATGGCTGTGGTCCACTATCTTATTCTTTAATAGATGATCTTTTTTACATATAATGTTTTTTTATTGAAAAAATAAAACGATAGAAAATATAATAGCAAAATTGAATTTCATTTTTGCAGGTGTGAAAGAGGAACTAGGAAAATTTGACATGCCTGTTGACAAAGCAGATGAAAACTTAGATCAGGTATGGAATGCTCATAATTATGATAATGTTCCTAGCTTGCTTGTTAATCTAAAGGTCCGGGGTTCATACTTGGCATAGGTCGAGATGATACATTCAGATTTTCTTTCCCCATCGGTGATGCATGTAATAGAGGTTGACATGGAAAAAGCATTGTCGTTCTGATGGGGAAAGAAACTGTGGCCCTGTGTGCTACAGGCTGTTGGAAATCAAAAAACAACAGGCTAATACTGCTGTCCTAGCAAAAAATTTTCTTATGGTACCCTTATTCTGTTGCCTGTCTTCATTAGCCCACATGGTGCAAAAAAGAAGAACATAAAACTCCATCCATTTCATTTTTATACGCCCATATGAAATGGGGGGTGTGTATTGTCATCACCCATTGCTCATAAACACTCAAGAAGGCACAATTCTTGATTTTGACGAAACTGGGTCTGATTGTTTGTTCACCCAAGAAAGAACCCTATTGAGAATGAGAAAAATCTAAAAATATTTAGTATGAGTTATTGTCCTTGTTCTTTAAAACGTGTTCAATTTTGAGCTCGTAAACATTCAATTCTCTGACGGATGTTGACAAAACTTGGTGTGAGAGTTCGTAATTACCCAAGGACGAACCCTATTGAAAATCAGAGTTATTGCCTTTGTTCTTGAAAACGCGTTCACTGTTTAGCCCTGAAACAAACTAGAAGGAACAGTTCTAAGTGGATTTTGATGAAACTTGGTGTGAATGTTGTTTATCAAACAAGGATGAACCCTATCGAAAATCAGAAGAATTGAAAAATATTTAAGTCATTGCCCTTGTTCTTAGAAACACTTTCAAGTTTTAGTCTGTTAACACTCTAGAAGGCCCAATATTATACAGAATTGCCTCAAAAAGTTCAAAAGAAGTATAAGACTGAAGGTTTAATATTTCATACTGGTAATTGTTACTGTACTGCCAAAAATTTCTATTTCAAATCAAAGCTGTAAGTGGGCGTGTATTACCTTGCCTGGCAAGCTATCTTTGAATATTAAGCTTCCCCTATTGCTTTTTATAACAAATTGTTGTTAAACACTTTTTGTACTGACTTAAAATAATAAATGATGATTTATCTTGATCCATTTCATTTAGATCACTTCCAAACACAATGCTTTTAACACAAGCTTAGATAATAACTTCTGACTCTTGGAGCATATCCTAATCTTGTATCTTACAGACAGGTGGTTTTCAAACAAGCAATAAGATCTTTCCATAGATACTCAGGCTTCATGTTCCTGGTATGTATCATATGTAAAGAAGTACTATTACAAATGTTGATATTTCAGATCGAGGTGAATTGGAAGGAAATGATAGAACCAAGATTATTACCGCTTAACTCATAATCTGAAGATTTTGAATTACTGTTTATGTGTCTTGAACAGAGATTTGAAAACTAACTGTTAAAACTGTCAGAAAGTTTAGAATCCAAACCAATGTATAAATCAATCGTTGGTTATGCTAATCTTTTAATAAAATACGGTTACATCATGGCATAACATTTCAATATTGCATAGATTAAATTAGGCAAAACTGAACAGGAAAAAGTACCCTATTTTTATCTCAGAATTAGCAAAAACATGTCTCCTTTTCCTCAATGTATGTTTCCTGTCCTGCAGAAACATAATATTTTCAGATGTGAAGTCTACATCTAAGTTGAATTTCAGATGAGCAAAAAGTCTTGCTTATATGTTTGAATAGTTGTTACATGAATCTAATTTGAATGAATTTTATCTTTTCAATAGACGGGAAGTCTTCAGGGTGAAATCCTTCACATATTCACTGTAGAGTTCATAGAGTGTTGAGAGAGTTGACTCAAAGGTCATTGGAATCTGCAAACTTTATACGCCATTCAAGCTTAGATGTTTGTGCACATCTGCATCTGAAGCTTGTCCTGATTCAAAATGTAAGCTTGAGCAGTCTGCTTATATAAGGGAAGAATAAAAATTAATGAAGCTATACAAATACTGTACACTACTACTTACTCTTTCTAAAACAAAAGTAGACTGTTTGAGTTGATGTTTATAATCGGACCCAGATGTGATTGACTACACTAGGTCACTAATAGTGCGTTCAGATGACTAAAGTTAAGGCAGCTTAACTTCAAACTGTTCTTCGAGCCCATTTTGTTTAGTCGTCTGAATGCGATCAGTTGAAATTAAACTGCCTTAACTTGCACCTACTTTGGAGGTGGCTCGAAACCTGTCTTGGAATGTTAAGGCAGCTTAGCTTGTCCGTCTGAACGCAACTGGCTAACAACAAGCCGGATATAGATGCTCCCGCGCGTGCGCATTACTCTCAACAATTTTCCACTATTGTCATTTATACATAATGCGCATGCGTAACGCCATTATGACCTCTGAACTTTTCGAGGAATTCCAGGTCAATATCTAAGCTGGCTTAACTTTTATGTCCGTCTGAACACACTCAAAAAAAACATAAACCAGTCTCGACGAATGGTTTGAAGTTAAGGTGCCTTAACTTTAGTCGTCTGAACGCACTATTAGTTTGTTTACAGATAAACCTAAGTTTGATTTATTGTGAATCGTATACAGGTCTGTTACAATCTAATTCAAATTCAAATAAAAGTTTTTGTTGCATTTTTTTTTCTGCAGGTCACTCCACTTACCACTGAAAATCTACCTATTTTGTAATGTATTTCATGTTCTGGGTCATTTAAAGGGTTTATGAAAAGGTTTTCTAAATTTATGTCTATCTGGCATGAAATTGCTCCATTCCAGTTTTCAATCAGACATCTGTGGTTCCTGCAATTCCACTAAAACTGCGTGTTTGATCACTTCACTTATTGCGAAGGGCCTTATGTGATAAAGCATATTTTAGGCCTAGTGACATCAAACACTTAGTTTTAGTAGAATTTCAGAAACCATATATTATGTCTGATTGAAATTTGGAATGGTGCAAATTGATGCTATCAGTGTCACAATAAACATAAGAAATGTAATAAACCTCTTTACAATCCCTTTAATATTCAACCAATCAAATGCTTTGTTCAATAAAAGATTTTCTATACTATATGTGAGAATTTCTGTCTTCCCCTTTTTATACGCCCACATGAAATGGGGGGCGTATATTGCCGTCACCCATGTTCGTCCATCCGTCCGTCCATCCACTATTGCTCGTAAACACTCTAGAAGGCACAATTTTCAATGGATTTTGACGAAACTTGGTGTGAGTGTTTGTTAGCACCAAAGGATAAACCCTATTGAAAATCAGAAAAATTGAAAAATATTGAGTATGAGTTATTGCCCTTGTCCTTAAAAAGTTTAGGTCTGTACACACTCTAGAAGGTTCAATTCTTGACAGATTTTGATGAAACGTATTATTCGGTATCGCCTCAAAAAGTTCAAAAGAAGTGTATGTCTGAAGGTTGAATATTTCATACTGGTGATTGTTACTGTACTGCCAAATATTTTTTATTTAAAATCAAAGCTGCCAGTGGGCGTATATAACATTGCCTGGCAAGCTATCTTTGATAGTGTTTTCCTTTAAATTTGGAAAGTTATGAATTATAAATTTGGCACGACTTTGGGTTAAATTTCTACTGAACATTAATGATAGAAGAAAGTTGTTAAACTATGGATGGAAAGTGTGGTAACCAGCAGAAAAAAAACATCCAGTTTTCAAATAAGATTTGGTATGTTGAATTTCACCAGCTGTTGAATAATTTGAGAATATGTATAATTTCTGAGTCTGGATAAAAATAAAATCCTCACTCTGTTAAAAATTGTAACTGAAATTATAAAATATAAATATACTGAATGAATAACTTGTGTATTGTTGGGAGATATACATTCAATTATTGTGGTTATCTTTGTATGAAATATTATTGTTGACCAATAAATGTATATTAATAGTGTTGTTTTCTATTATAAATGTTTATTTTTAAATCTTGAAGGGGGAAACACTTAAAGAGTTTACAAATTCCCTTCAAGTTAAATCATATACTTGTGAGCTGCTAAATAAGATAAGAAAGAAAGAATAGTTTAATTAAACTCCCTATTTAATTGTTCATTTAATTAAACAAAGTGACCTAAACATTTGGATTTCCAGCTGAACAGGTTCATTTCTCTGTATCACTTTTCAATTAGATGTTATAAGAATACTCACCTATAGGAGCACTGGCCTAGGTCACAAGTATAGACTATGGATTTTAGCATAAGAATTTATTTGAAAGAATTTAATTGTTCCTGGAGAGATTAATAAAAGATTAACAAATAATTCAAATATGCAATGCATTTGCTCAGATTTTTATTTCTTTCCTAGCAATGAGCAAATGTTTGGTATAGATGTTCAGGAAATCATCTTGGTAGTTCTTTATAAACGTGTTTGAATATCACAGAGGAATTTGGCTGTAGTATTGTAGGTGACAAGTATAATTTTCAAGTCACAAATTTAAACTTTAAGATTTAGTTTTTTTGCACCCTGTGTAAAGATCTATTATTTATAAACACAAGGAAATATGCAGTATTATTTTTGTAAACCCCCCTGTATAAAAATAAATTATGAGTTGCAATCTTTATATACATGTAGTATTTCTATGTGTGTGTATAGGCTTACTATGATAACAGTAAAAAGTAACAGTTTCACTTTGACATGTCATATCACTCTGTATTCCTACGCCAGGTAACATTCATACAGGTACATATAAGGGAAAAAATAATTTGACCTTTTAACTGGTAATTAATTAGTGACTAATTTTAACCCAAAGTTCTAGTGGCCCAATTATCAAATTAATTGTGCAGTTGACGATTTTTATGGGTCAAAACGGTAATTGAGCTGCTGGTGGCTCGCGGCGACTTCCTCTTTCTACCTGAGTGGTTAGGCTATAACGGTAATATGGCAGCCGAGTAGTTACTAGTGGGAGAAAGTGTTAGGGGAGTTTTTAATTATATTGGGGTGGTACTCGGCTATGGAAGATCCTGAATTTTTGGATAAATTAAGAAGTGTTTTCGATGTTTGTGACGAAGATGATGATGGATTAATAGCTGTGGATCATTTTGAGAAATTAGCAGTAGAACACTTTGGAGCTTCAGGTATTGAGGTTAGTATTTAAGCGTCATACCTATTACCATCACTTAATCAATAAAATTATTAAATATTTTATTCAGCTATATGTAGTATACTGACTGTTTCATATTCATAAAGTGTGAATTATAGCTCATAATGTCCAGTACACACTAACTGTCTATGAACATAAATTTTTAGCTATATCATTTGAATTGATCTGTTTTATACAGGGCAAGATATTTCTCTGATTGTTAGATATGATATATCCAGTAATACATTGTCACAATGAAAGTTAATAAAGTGAGCTTATAGATTGGAATATCTTCATCAATAATGTTTATTTCTAGTTTTCGTAAATTTTTGTGATTAAGTATTTTGTGTGAAATGGTTATATTTAGAATTTAATTCATGTAAGTTTAAAAGAGTTGTAAACAGTCTTTGTATTTCTTTGTTTGAATTTCTCAAGGAGTTTTTCATATTATGTTAAATTCAATTGAATAATCTAAACAGAATATCATTCTTTCATATTTGTAAACGACTTAGTAATCCTCTATTCAAAATTATAGTTTTCTATTCATCATAGATCACTGAAACCGTTTGTTTTGCAACACATATTCTTAAAAATATTCTTTTCTCATTTGCATCATTTAATTTCTATAGCGTTCTAAATGCATTATGGACCATAGAATAACAATTACATGGGATATGATTTACATGTCTGTTGTTGTTAGAAATGCACTGATTATGGATAATGTTAATAAGTTTCAGGTAAACAAGTTATCTACATGTTTAATTTAAACATAATAGGTGATAAGATAATAAAAAGACTAGTAATTGATAAGACAATAACCTAGATAATAGGATATAGATATTATAACAGATGCCTTTCACTAGTGATTGATTGTCTTTCTTTGATGTTTGACATACTAATCATTTCCACTGCTTAACTGCCTTTCACCTCAGGCTTTCTGTTGAAATGATACCTTTCAGATTTTTAAACCCAGTTTCTCCCCATCAGTGATGCAGGTAAGAGGGGAGAGACATGGACAATAAACCAAGGCCCTGTGTGCTACAAGATGTGCACGTTTAAGATCCCTTGACAGTTGGAAATCGAAAAAGAGCAGGCTAATGCAGCTGTCGTGGCAAAATTTCTCTCATTGTAGCCTACCCTGTATGCTGTTACCTGTCTTCATTAGCCCACATGGTGCAGAAAGGTAGGATGTAAAACTCCATTCATTTCATATCATCTCAGGCTGTCTTACAATTTGAGAGACAGAGGCACATCCAATTTCTGTTTTATATTGATGATTATCAATTTTTTTCTAAAAATTTCATGAAACTTGGTCAGAAACCGCAATCTGTGTAACTGAATATTTACAAATTGTTCTCATTAAACCACTTCTAAAAATGCAGATAATAAATAACCAACTTTATTTCATAAAGCATATCAATCCTGATTATTGATATTTAGTGTTGTCTGAATTGTGTTTCGATATAAGAGCCACTTATTCCACTCCATAAACTAATATATAGATATAATATGCACTAAACCTGAAATGATTCAGAACAGGTATGTTTTTCTGTGAGTATTTTACATTTTGTGTGGCCTTTATCTGCCTTTATCATGGAGGGATATGATTTCAGCATTTCGCATCATAACTGAGAATCAAATTCCTTCTTACTGAGTACTTTTTCCCACCTCTGTTCACAGGTGGTTGAGACTGTGTATACTATCATTGAACACTGTAAGTTCCTTTCCTCCTAGATCTTGTTATTTATTGAGTTTTCGCATGATGAGGCACCATGTTTCAAACATTGCTGAAATATCCCTCAAGAATGCAGGCTGTAGTACAGGAAGATGGAGCCACACAAAATTTCTCAGAAACCTCTGTAATTACCTGTTCTGAATATTACTTTTGTTTTATGTTATGAGAGGGCTATAATTTCGAGACACTTGGTATTTTAGAAATTGTGACATTCTACTATGTTGACTAATAAAACAGGTCTTACTACCTTGTTTAAATATTACAGTATTATTAGGAAGTCAAAAGAATGACTCACAACCTTTTATTATCTTCGTTAATTTAGAAAACAATGTTAAAAATTAAATTTTAATCTGCTAGAAGGAAAAGTAAAATTATAGATTAGGTTTGAGAGGGAAGTGTAATACCAAAGTATCAACTGTGGCAGGTAAGCATATAATAGTATTGTACCTGATAAATTTCTATTTTAGTACTTGGTATGATTTTTTTTGATGACCAGGCCATAAGCACACCAGAATGAGACTTGTGTATTTTTCGCTTTCTGACAAACATAATGATATGAAGAGAATTAGGATTACAAATCAAGTAGATATTATGGTATATCATAACCAGACTGGGTAAATGAGGTGTTTAGTTCTAACTATATGATATAAATATTATTCTATATTGATATGAGAGATTATAATCACTATACTTACATCATATATTGACATTTGACCAAAAGACTGTTTCTTTCATAATACTATGTTGACTGAAAATCATCAAAATACATTTGAGTTGATAACTTTTGAAGCCCCTTTTTCAGTCCTTGTCTTCAAGTTTATGCAAATTTTTCATTTAATCACCTTAAGTTATCTGTTTTCATTGATGCTAATGAATGAATGTCATGAAAATTTGTGAGAATCATCTGATCAGTGGCATTCTTTTTTTTTAGCTAAATTATCATTTAATGGTACATGTCTGTGTCAGTAGTGACAGATAGTTTTAGAAAGTAATTACCTGTGTATGGTTGACCTAAGAATATAATTGACTAGTATTTATTGAAGCATGGTAGATATTTTATATAAAGATTAATCAATATTAATATTAAGTTCAGGCAGTGTAATCGTCTATATATTACTTATCATATTATTGAATGCTCAAAGGTTGCCATGTTTAATATATTTCTTGTATTTGTGACATTTATTGTATTTTAAGTGCAGTTTCTCATGATGACAAAAATTCTTTATGAAGCAGGTAATTTTGATCTCAAGAGTTGGACCCAGACACTGATCTTATGTATTTAACAAAATGCAAATTGTTCAAATTACTTGTTCTGCCATTCTATAATATTAAATAAGTGTTCCATGTGGCTGTTGACTTACAATCTTGAGGTATGTAACTTGACTGAATCACAAAATGGTCAGACCCATTGAATTTTAAGTTGAATAAATATAGATATTGGGCTTCCTCACTTTATTTTGAAAGACGTATGTCCACAGGCATCACAAAATGCAATCAGTTCTTCAGAAAATGCTATTGACAGGGCAATGAAATGACTAGAATTGTTTGAATACTTTTTTTTGAAAAAAGGAATTGCTAGCATTGTGTGAACATAGAAAGACAAGTATTTGATTACTGTTTGGAGTTGCTGCCCTGTGGGTGCAAAATCCTGAAACCTCCGAATGATCTGAAAAGATCTGATAAATCGAGACCAAAGACTGACCAAAAAATTTGTGATTGGCAACGAAAGAATATTTTAAAACATATTTAATAATCAACTATGGTTCTTCATGTAAATTAATTTTAGTACTCTTATTCATACTAACACTTGCAATCAATTGATATTATTATATTATTTAATAAGAATGATTATTTATTGTGGGACTTTGCTTTCAGCAAAGTCCCAGAAATTTACACACCTTCCTGAGCTTAGACTGCAGTAGTTGCAGCAACCATTCAACTTCCCTAGACCTTCTGTAGTGGCGACGTGTTCCTTAAATATATATTGGAACATTTTTGCAAAACCGGAAGTGCCACAGTTCAACATGTGCAAAAAGTCGAAAATCGGCTCTAGAAGGCGTATTTTTGCATCGATTTTCTTCGGGTTTTCATTTTTACAATCTACCTGTAATTTCTGTCCTGATGGCACTTGAAAAAATACGAAATTCGAAAATTCATCGCTCACTTTTTTCGATCAAATTTTTCGATTTTTTTGCAACTTTTTTGCTTTTGCATCGATTGATCTGAAATTTAATATGCAAAGGGGCATCACTAAAGTAAATGATATGTAGTTGTCAAATATTTAACTTTACTTTCAGTTTTAAACGGGGAATCAATTGAAAGTACAATCCACTTCCGGTCGAATTCCGGTGTAATTGAAATAGGTCAACGAAATTTATGCTGATCGTAAGTAAATGCTAATACAAAAAAACGAAGAATATAAAATCCAGACCGGAAGTGATACTTTGGCCGCCATCTTGATTTTCTAATTTTCTTAAAATCGAAATAAGTCCTTAGGGATAAACTAAATCTGCTTAAATTTGGTGTCGATGTAATCTGCTGTCTAATGTTCACAAAACGTTGCGAGCCGATTTTTGAATTTTGCTTTTGCATTTTCGCAACTTCCAGTTAAATTTTTTCAAAGTTTAAAAGCTTATTTCTTGTGACCTTGACCTTTGAGGACCTTGACCTTCATAGGGTCAAAGGTCCTTGACCTTGGCTATCATTTGATACTTTGACCTTTGACCTCCGACATGTACTTTTGGTTTTATAGCTATCCGTAAAAAGCCAAATTCGCAACTTTCTCCTGCTCTAGCACGTGACCTGATTAACCTAGAGGGTTAATTTTTTCGGTTTTCTAATGTGCTTCTCATGCACTTTACATAGATATAGAACTATTGCTTTTTTAAAGCAAAATTGAAATTCGTGAATTTTTCAAATTTGTGTTTTGTTTTACCATATTTGTGTCTTTTTGATCTTGGTGTATGTATATCTTATGACCTATTCTATGTAGAACCTTGATATTTGGAATACAACTAGACACTTTGAATATGAATTCACCTATGACAAAAAAATTGGGGTGAGCCTGGCACATCCGGTTGAATTACTAATTGTTTACATTTTGGGGCTGGGGCATAACTCGCATAGGATACGTTTGTTCAAGAAGGGACTTTGCACACAATTACCTCATCCTTTTGGCCAGTTTGTGTTAACAGCTCAGTTGTTTCAGCTTTATAGTTCCAAAAAAGGAACGGGTTGTAACATTTGGATATTTTCATTTTTTGATTTAGACCTTTATTGACATTTGTTGACCTATATCTTTTGACCTGAATAATGTAGAAGCTTGAAATTTAAAACACAATATAACATTTGGAATATCTATTACCCTATGCAAAAAAATTAAGGTGGGCCTGGCACATCCGGGTAATATTACTCATTATTGATATTTTTGGCCAGGAGCATAACTCGCAAAGCATACAATTATCTCGTTTTGAGCCACTTTGTCTTAGAAGTTTGGTTGTTTCCGCTTCATAGTTCAAAAAAAGGAACAGCTTTTGGAAATTCCAAATATTCAATTTTTGACCTTGACCTTTGTTGACATTGACCTTTGTAGGATCAAACGTCATTGGCATTGGCTATCTATTAATACTTTTTATATTTGCTGTCCTATGTCAACTTCCGGTTTTATAGTCGTGTGCAATTAGAAATTTTGATGACATATATCTCTTGATCTTGACCTTTTTAGACCTTCTCCTTTACAAGATCAAAGGTCATTGACCTTGGCTATCTGCTGGTACTTCCAGCGTCTACTTCAGGTATTAGAATCTTCTAAAAAATAAAAAATTATCAACTTTAAACTGTTCTTGCGCTTGACCTAATTATCGTCGATGGTTGATTTTTTCGGTGTCTTTAGCAAATTGCTACATTTGCAAAGTCCCACTCTGTGCCACGAGTTGCTCTAGTTATTATTATTATTATTATTTGTTGTTTATTATGATTTATTCACAGCCTTTGGTGGAATTTAAGACTAAATTTTTAGGTTTTTTCTGATCCAATTTGGACAATTTGGAATTTTACACTCACCGGTTGCTGCATGGCTGAGGGCATCACAAAGAATTATCTAACTCTAAAAACAACTATTGATAGGACAATGAAATGTTTAGAATCAATTGGATACTTTCATTTCATATTCCTTTTTTTCAAAATAGAAGCCCCACTGATTCCCATCAAGGTAGAAGCTACAACAAAGTTGGGGGTTGATTTATTAGCAACTGAATATTTCATGGTATATAATAATATATGCATTCATTTTCCTACAAAATAGTTACAATCTCATTTGTCTTCTATTCTGAAATCAAGAGAACAGGTACTAGAACATGCTTTAACTTGATAATATGATGATATTCTGACCTAAATACCTTTCTCATGACAATTAGGTATTGATTTTCTGC